TAACTTCATGCCCATCCGAAAGAAGAAGTGTTCTTACCCGTTCTTTGAATTATTTCAAGACCAGTTTCAAATAAAGATGGTCGGCAGCCCGTAATACTGATAGAAGATTCTTAGAAAACAATATGGAATGGCTTAATGTATCACTGGAACTACCTACTTGGACCCACTAAGCAGGCCGACTAACAAAAGAATTCGGAGAATGGTGTGAGCGGAGTAAGCGTCGAAGGACAAAAGATTTACGGGACCGGGTACCTGTTGATGAATTGACTGCAAGCGTGAGTCACAGTACTGCGGGAAATGTTGATGTGTCTAAGGTTATGAAAAAAATGACGTCAACGCCTACCAGATTTAAAAAGTTCCGAAAAGCAATATCGTCAGCTAAAAAAGAACCAATCACAGGAAAATACAGACCATAAGAAGCTTTAGCGTTATTTATAAAAGGTAATTTTACAAGAAGACAGTGAGAATTAATACAAGGTGGCCGAAAAGAAATTTATCCTTGCTATTCGATTTTAAAAAAGCGAAGGAGTGTTATCCTGCCGAAGATAGCATAAAAGTCACTGAAACTAGCTTTGAAGTGGAACTTCAAATTTTGCCATACGGCTTTGCGACTACTTCAATGTTTAAGAAAAGTAGTTGACACGTTATGAGAGTTTGAGAAGCAACATCTAACCTTAATATCAAAATGGGGCTGTGATGGATCTAATCAAACACAATTTAAGCAGAAATTTGGCAACACTAACGACGATGATGCCAATATATTTTTAAGTTCTCTTGTACCTGTAAGAATCGTTGTTTCTGTGAATGGAGAGACAAGAAAAAGTATATGGCAAAATCCAGTGGCTTCTTCGGTTAGATTCTGTCGTCCTATCCGGGCTCGATTCATTCACGAAACAAAGGATGTCAGCAAGGAAGAAATTACCTATATTTATATGTGTAAATTTATATTTTGTATTTATATGTATAAATCACACCATTTTGTTCACAATGGTCGATGGAAAGTGTGCAATGCGGCGACTGATACAGCTTCAACAATGAGATGCTATATACAGAGTGGTGAATCGTCAAACGGGCCATAGGAAACTCAATGGGAAATTCTAAATTGTTGAATTCCTGCTTCCCTAATTATTTTACACCAAAAGTCATGGGAAACTATTTGTAGAGGACTCAATTATATATCGAAAACAACTGTTAAAATTATTCTACGACTTAAACGTATTCCAAAATTTTGCTAAAATATAATACATTTTTCTGCGAACAAATGTGTATTGCGTGTTGCGTTTTGTCATTTTATTGTTTCTGATATTTGACAATATTTAAATCAATTATATTACATTTATCTATGATTTAAATGGCAAAAATTTTGTGATTTATTGTTAAAAAAAAATTAAGTTGATTAAAAAATGTACTCAGTTGAGGAGAAAAAAGCAATAATAAAAATGTTTTATTTATGTTTTATTATAACATTTGTTATAGTTTTATGTTTAGAAATTATCATATATTATTATTAGGAATAAAGATCACAGTAACAGTATATTGGAATAATTGAATTGTTGTATAACTTAACTTAACATGGAATTAAATTTTAGTATATTAGAATATCTCACGTTAAATAAAGATCCGGTAGTGACAGGTAAAGGTTCACGCTATTGCCTGAATATAACATTATGTGATTTTTCGTCAACTGAGTACATTTCATTATATTGATCGATTTGTAAACAATATAATTTATTGTTCACAAAGTAATATTGTTCAGTAGTAGTAGTATTTAGTAAAATTCATTGTTTATAATTTAATCATAAAATAAAAAAAATGACAATTCAAATTGTCAAATATCTGACATAAATATGATAAAACACACATGTTATAATATATTCTTGTATTACATGTGGCCTAACTTTTAGGGGTGGTCTGAAAAATCTATTATATTTTTGCAAAATTTTGAAGTACATTTGATTCGTAGAACGGTTTTAACATTTGTTTTTAATTCAGATTTTAGTCCTCTATAAATAGTTTTTTATGACTTTTGATCTAAAATAATTAGGGAAGCAGCAATTCAACAATTTAAAATTTCTCATTGAGTTTCCTATGGCTCGTTTGACGATTTACCACCCGGTATGTGGACAGACATCTAAGGACATCAACAAACTTGAAAGAGGCAATGTTCGTGAAGTGTCTCTGAGATTCGGACTCTCCATTCTTCACGCAAGAATTCGTTTCTTCGAGCTACTGCTGCACTTGACGTACAAAGCGCCCTTACAGAAGTGGCAAGCGCGAACGGCAGTGAAAGAAACAAAACGAAAAATACAGAAAATCTTCAAAGAAGAGATGAGCCTTCTTGTTGACATTTCCAAAGTCGGTTAAGGCACTAGTAACGATGGAAATACGTTGAAAAGATTTTTTGACGATCCTGAATGCTCATCTCGGATTACTGGAATCAATATTCTTCTTCTTCAAGTGCCGTCTCCATCAATGGAGGTTAGCGGTTATGGTGGCAAACGTTTGTCTATCTTCAGCTGCTCTTAAGAGTTCCTCAAATCCAAGTCCTGTCCAGTTTCTGATATTACGTAACCAGGACAATTTTTTTCTTCCAATTCCTCGCTTTCCTTCTATTTTGCCTTTTATTATCAACTGAGGGATGTAGTATTTCTCGTTGCGCAACAAATGCCCTAAATAACTGGTTTTTCTTCTTTTGACTGTTCTCAATAGTTCTTTTTCTAAATTGAGTCTAGCTAGTACTTCTTCATTTGTTTTTCGTGCTGTCCAAGGAATTTTTAAAATTCTACGGTACACCCACATTTCAAATGCCTCGATTCTATTCAGGCTCTTTATTTTTAAAGTCCACGTTTCGACTCCGTAGAGAAGAACAGACCAGATAAAACATTTTACAAGTTTTAATCTCAATTTAATATTTATATGTGTATCGCAGAATAGAACGCGCATCTTAAAGAAACTATCCCTAGCTTGAGCAATTCTCGCTTTAATTTCTTGTTCTGGGTCCAGCTTGCAATTAATCCAACAGCCAAGGTATTTGTATTGGTTTACCTGTTCTAAAATATTCCCATTTATTTTTATAGGTAAGGGGATATTCTGTTTTCTTTGGATCACCATTACTTTTGTTTTTTTCGTTGATCTTCATTCCAAACTCTCGACAAGCATCCTTAAGGTGGTCTATAACCCCCTGTAAGTTTGTGTCTGTATCAGCCAGTAGGACAGTGTCATCTGCATATCTTATGCTAGATATTGGTTCTCCATTAATTTTTATTCCTGTGGAAAGGTTTTCCAAGGCTTGCTTGAATAGTAGTTCCGAGTAAAGATTGAACAGCATAGGGGATAGTATGCATCCCTGCCTTACTCCTTTATTTATACTAATATTTCTAGATGTATGATCGTCGATCCTAATCTTGGCACTCTGCCTCCAATATAAGTTCTTAATTAATCGGAGATCTTTACTATCCAAGTTGATGCTCTGCAAGGAATTTGGAATTAGGAATCAATATAGATTTGATAAAATGGTTCCAAATCATTCTTGAAGTAATATCAAACGGATATGATCTTGATCCTTTGAAATTCAATTACTTTGCTCACACAACCGCCAAACTGGATGTAGAACTGTATGCTTGGCATCCCATGTCACCTACACTTCACAATATTCTGATGCATGGAGCTTAAGTCATATCAAGTCACATTGTACCTATAGGACAGCTATCAGAAGAGGCTGCTGAAGCCCGAAACAAACATTTCCGCAAATATCGCGTAGACTTTGCCAGAAAATTTTCAAGATTTGACTGCAACAGAGATGTTTTAAATAGGTTGTTGCTGACATCTGATCCCTTTATCAGCTACAGCAGCAGAATAAAATGGAAAAAGAAAAGCAAGTCCTTTTCCCAGGAAGCTATTAGTATGCTTACTTACGAAAATAGTGAATTGTGACAGTTCCAACGACGAAGATGATGAGGACGAGATCCCCTGTGAACTCAGTGACTATGATTCTAATTGATTCGGCCTCCTTATGATTATCCTCTTGAACACAAATACTATTTAAAGAGTAAATACTCTCTTAGATTTCTAAATTTCTTTTTTTATTACTGTTTTTCTTTTTAAATAAATGCCTAATTATTATGTATTACTGACTTTTTAACGACTTCATAATCATAACTATTTATATAATGTCAAAAATGTTTTTTCGGAAAAAAACCTACAACTTTTTTTGGGGATGGCTGCAGCCCTAAAGGTTCGTCACCTTCAAAAATCTCAAAGACTGTTTTTTAGGGGGTTTTTGGGAAGTTTGACCGTGTTTCTCCCACTTTTAAATGTTCTAAGGGATTCATTTACTTCAATTTTCATATAACCTGTAAAAAACATTGATTTCATCTATTTTGAAGTCTATAAAATAGGGAAAATCTCCAAAACCAAAACCCTCTAAAAACAGTTTTTCGGATTTTTGAAGGTGGCGAACGTTACGGAAAAATCTGATAGAAATTGGAGATATAGTCTTTGATAAAATACAGTGATAAAATAAACGTAAAATAAGTCAAAAAATGAATTAGACCTGCAGCCATCACAAAAAAACGTTTTAAAAAGTCTTAACTATGCTCGTGAATTTTTTGAAATTTTAAAATTGATTTCATCCCACCTAAAAAAAATAAACACGAAAAATTAAGTTTTTGACGGAGAGGGGAGGGGAAAGGTGGTGGTGGGTTAAAATTACGCGGAGTCTAATTATTTAATCACATTGAACTTAAAAAAATTGAATTCTGGGAGTGAGAGAAGGTAGCTTTTAATTTATTTATCCCGTCATAAAAATGAACAAGTAAACTATTCAGTGATCGCAGTTGTAGATTGACTATTTATTATTTGAACATTTGATCAAATCAATTTGTTTATAAAAATTATTTATTTGTGCATAGTAAAATGTTTGAATTCAAATATTTTTTAAAACCTAATATTATCACATTGTACCTTACCATTATACTTTACTTATTTAATTATTTACTTACTTAATATACTCTTCTTCGTAAAAATTATTTAGTTTAAATCTGTGATCTTCGTAAATGTCCTGTTTTGTCATAACAGAAGAAGTTTCGTCATAGTAATCTACATAAGCATTGACTAGTCTAGCAAGAGGAGCATCAAACACATAAATCGGCAAGCAAAGAACAGTTGAGCTATTTATAGGTACATCGCTGTATTGACTTTCCCGCGACGGAGATCTATCTACACTGTCTAAACTTTGATTCAGACTTGGAATGTTTGTACTATCGCTTGACAGAAGAGATTTGAGATCATCTAGTGTAGCTGGGGCGAATGTTAGTATTACATGGGTGACTGATATGCCCTTTACAAAGCATCGCCACTGAGAAGCAGTCTTTTCGTCAGTTTGATGTGAGTTAGCTGGAATATTATTATTCATTTATACATGGTAAACATTTATAACTATTTATGTTACTAAATACATATAATAAAACTGAATGCAACCACACTATGAAATTAAGACAACTGCTAACTAAAAATGAGTATGATGGCGGTCAGAGTGGACTCTAATATAAAGAGTGCGGTTCAATCTAACACAAATATTTAACTGCTTCTATTTGCTCAATACTAATAATAAAAGATCGAAGAACATCATAATCATAAACATCTTGATTTAAATAAACTCGATGGTAAACGTGAAACTTTATCAGGAATATAACGACACTTCTGTTTTATAAAGAATAAACTTTTATAGCCTTTATTTGTATATACATCTTACATAGTATACCAGAGAAATTACTGTTACAGCATAGATACAGGGGCATTATCGATATACAGGCCGATTCATTGAAAAATGTCTAAAACGGCAGTTATAGTTCTTCTTCAATAAAAAACTCCAGAGGCTTTCGTTCTGGTGAACGAGGTGGCCACCTAACGGGACCATAAGTTCCAATCAACCGATGATGAAATTTTTCATTTAAATAATTTCCAACGAATTCAGAATTATCGGCAGGTGCTCGATCTTATTGGAACCAAAATATAATCCTCTAGCCAATTATTCTTTATCAAAAATGTCATTTAACCTTCCGTCAGTCTCGTAAATAGTCGGGAATTGTCGTCATCAGTAGCTTCCTACATCTCATTATTCTACAGCACGTGATCGGTCATGAGAAAATATTCTTTACTAGAACGAAGATATTTGAATATTGTTCATTTTGATATACTGCGCCCATTAGTATAACAAAATTAATTTTTTAAATTTGTCACATTTCAGGGATTTTACAGTATTCACTGCCTTCCCTCGCTCAACCGTTTCCTTCTCTCTCTGTTGTCCCATTCTCCATCGTTTAGGCCTCTCTTACTCATGGCGTCGTCTACTTTGTTCCTCCAGGATCTTCGGGGTCGTCCTCTTTTCCTCCTTCCTATGGGCTCCATTCGGTTATTCTCTTTATCCATCTGCTGTCGCTAGTTCTTCTTACATGTCCATACCACTTTAGTCTTTTTTGTTCTATAGTATATGTTAGTAGTATGTCTGTTTCTTTTGATGTTCTTTGCTTTATTTCGTCATTACTTCTCCTATCCATTCTTGTTACTCTGCAGCATTTTCGCAGGATTTCCATCTCTGTTGCTACTATCTTACTGCTGTTTTTCTTGTTTATAATCCAATTTTTAGCCCCATAAGTCATAATACTTCGCACTAATGTTTTATAAATCTGTGTTTTTGTCTTCATATTTAGGTGTCTATCCCACCATACTGAGTTAAGTTATCGGATTGCTGTTCTTGTTTGTCCTAATCTTTGCGTAATTTCTTCCTCTGTTGTTGCCTTTTTCGTGCTTATAAACCCCAAGTATTTGAATTTGTCCTCGCCTTTGATTGATACGTTGTCATCAATCTGTAGATCTTCTATGTCTTCGCGAGGTTAATATCTAGGCCAGCCTTCGTATATTCTTCTTGTAGTTTCTTCATCATGAAGCTGAGGTCAACTTAGTCTTGTGCAATCACTACTTGATCGTCTGCAAAGCTTAACGTATATAGGTATTCGTTCCGTACCGGTACTCTCATGCCTTCGCATTTATACTTTCTCCAAGTATATTTTGAATATGTCATATATGCCTCCTTCCATTCCTTTGGGACCTGTTCTCCATTTATGGCTTTCTTAAATATCCATTGTATTATACGGTGTAATTTTTTTAAGCCGTATTTGATAAGCTCAAGTGAGATGCCTCCAGGTCCCGGTGCTTTCTTATTTTTGATTGCTTTTATGGTTGTTCTCATTTCCCTATCTGTTATTTCTATTTCTTGTTGTGGGGATCTGCTTCATATTCGCCTGTTTTCTTTTCCAATGAATTGTGGTCTTTGTTCTGTTAACAGTTCCTTGTAATAGTCCTTCTATTCTTTGTTCTGTATATTTCCCAATTTAATTTTTTCTTTTGAGTTTAGTTTCAATCCTCTCAGTACTTTCCATGACTCCGAAGTTCTTGTACCTCCTATGTATGTTTCAATATTTAAGCAAGTTCTTTCCCAGTCTTCATTCTTTTGTTGTGTTATTTCTTTGTTTACTTCTCTAGTTTTTTTCTATATTCTTTATAAACTTCATCGTTGTTTGTAGTCAGCCATTTTCAGTATAGTTGCTTTTTTTTCTTCAATTATTCTTTTTGTTGGTTCATTTACTTTATAATAGTGCTGTTTATTTGTTATATGTTTGTTATAGTCGAATGCTGCTTATTTTATACTCGCCTTTATATACTTTATAATTTTATTAATTTTTGGTCTAGACGTTGTTGGTATAGTTCTCTTACCAACTACACTACCTTTCTACTACTACCTTTCCTTTTTTTATTCAAAATTAATAATTATACTTACACTTACAACATAATCATCAAACTGATTCACTACGCCTGGTTGGAGATTTTTTTGTAAGTTAACAAATTTATATTTGATTTAGGTTTGTACAACAGACCAATCGATATATTGAAAGTGTTAAATTGCCCTTCAAACGCGATAGAGATGCCAAGTCTGTAATTACTGAACTAAAAACATTTGTAGGTCTCTTATACTTTGCTGGTGTTCACAAAAGTAAAAGATAGCGTTTGAAGGACCTGTGGGGATCCGACGGGAATGGTATTGAAAAATTCCAACTTCATGAACATCAAAAGATTTAAGTTCATTATGCGTTGTATGCGCTTTCATATTCGCACTACCATAAATGAAAGAAAGAAACCGCCAAAATTGAAGCAATTCGTGACATTTTTACAATTTTAGTAAACAATTCACAGAAATCCTATAGTTTAGGACAGAACGTTACGATTGATGAGAAATTGGAAGGCCTTCGTGGACGATGCGGTTTTGTGCAATCCATACCGAATAAAGCTAATAAATGTTGTGTGAAAATCTACGTACTTGTGGATTCCCAGGTTTACTATCTATATAATTGGAAATATATGCAGGATTACAACCTGAAGGCCCCTTTCAATTGAGCAATTCACCGTCTTATGTTGTTCTGCGACTTTGCCAACCTATTTATCAGACAAGCAGAAATGTTACTGCTGATAACTGGTTCACCAGTATTCCAATGATAAATGAGTTACGACGTAAAAACCTTTCTTACGTTGGCACTTAAATTCCTTCCAAGTAAGGCGAGAGCTAATAATAGTAGCTTGTTTGCCTTCAAAAATGATACTTTGGTTTCTTATGTTCCCAGAAAAGGAAAATGTGTAATTTTGGCTTCAAGTCTACATGAAGATTCCACTATTGATCTTGAAACATGAGATAAAAAAAACAAGCCATCTATTATCATGTTTTACAATCGCACCAAAGGCGAAGTTGCCAACAGAGAAAATGTGTGCATCATACACCGTAGCTAGAAATGTTCATCGTTGGCCCATGGTGGTATTTTTTGTTATGCTCAATATTACTGGAATCAATCCTGAGTCGCTACCAATATGGCTAATAATAAGGCGTGTTCCTTTCCACATGGAGCTTATAAACCTGTCGACAAATCAGTTAGGAAAGCTTGTCGTATGTTTTTCACATTTAAATCCTGCTAAATTTTTGTCACAGTATGTTCTTCATTTAACCATATTTTATCTGTATACGTTTTTCTCCATCTCTTCGAAATTCTGTTATTTGATTCAGATACTTTCTGCGCCATAAAATAATTTCTTATTTTTCAATAGGGGTATTATTCCTCTTCCTCTTTCTCTTGAAATACCTTTAAAGTTCATTTCACGTAAAGTACGTAACAAAACACGTCTTGATATTTTTGAATATTTTCATTAGATTGAAGAAAAGAAGCAATTTTTTTATAGTTGGTAATTCCTTTTTGAAATAAAATTCATGTACTGCACGACGAATTGCCTGTTTGGTTGTATTATCCAATTTTATTTGTTTCCTTCCTCTTGTCTCAACCTTCAAAGTATTATTATCGTTTGTTTCATCGTCTGTTTTAATACTTGACACACTGCTTCGGAAACTTTTGTCAAAATTCTACATCGCTTACATTCACATTTTGTTCTATGGCTCTAAGTCCTTCAAACACATTTTCGATCACAGTTTTTTCTTCGGATGTTAAATGGTGACGTTTCTTTTCAATATATGGTTCATTATACTACTATCAGTCATATTTGTTATTTGTCCACCAAATTGTCACCAAATCACAAAAAGTAAACGTAAAAGCTCCTTTACTAATAGTAATACTACAAACAATTCTGTTCTTTGCTTTATGAAACCCCTGTCAGTGCGCTTATGAAACTGACGTACAGACACCAGACAATAAAATCCATACCGAACAATGGCGTTGTTGTCAGTTACATCGCCGTAATTTGTGAAGATGTTGTTGATCGGACACATTGTCCCGTTAGAGAAAGGTATTAACTATAACACTGCAGATAACTTCAAGTTGAATCATAAACGCTGACAACGTTACATTTTTCTTTGTCCAAACCCAAATCTTTGCCAAAAGATTTGAACAGTTACATCAATCAAATTATTGAAATTGATTTCATATAAAATGAGATCTCTTTTATCTCAACGCATATTCTTTGAAAAGCGAGAAGTTTTTTCTCAATATTTAAGAAATTAAACAGATTCTGCAATAATCCACTAATCTGTTTATTAAATAATAATTAAATTTTCTTCTTTTCTCGGAACAAATTTTTTTTTCTATAGGGTAAACGTCCAATTTTACTGGCTACAAAAAATCATTAAAACATGAGCCACTTGCTACAATTGTGATATTTGATGATAAGATCGGTCAGCAGTGAATTAAAGGGCAGTCACCTCTTCGGCCCATAAGTTAACGCTAAAAGCAGATAGGCGTTCAATAGTGACAAAAAAGCAAGAGTACATCACCCCCCTTTTTGTCGGCAGAAAAAAACGATAATATAAAATGTGATAAGATAATAAGGGCAGGCGTGCATTGAAACGTGTATTGAAAAACCATACGAAAGAAAGACATATCACGTTTAAATGAATTGGCAAAAAGTTAAGATGCCTGACCACAAACGTGGGTTTTTCACTTCGAAACTGTACGGAAAAAATTAATTACGTGATATCGGGTGCCATTTTGGCGGCGAACTAAAAATGACATGAAATTGGGGTTTGGTTAGTTATAACCGATCGTTGGACTAATTAAGAATTGAGTGACAATATAGACATTTTTAGTCGATATTTGAACTTGTATTTATATTACACATCGAGTTTCAACTGACGGAATTTAATTATATGGGGGAGCTCGAAATTAGGGCGTAGCCAGAGGCAATTTTACGCATTTTTTAAATAGTTTAAAGACAAACAAGGTTAATGATATGAAAACTTCAAAAAACTGCGTGACTTGGTACAGCACTGTCAAAAGTTTTAAGCATATTACGTTGTCCACCACATAATTCATGCCACCTTTCGGATCTTGTATGAACTAACGATGGCGTGAAATTTAGATGGATTTATAAATTGTTAACGTTTAATTATTAATTTTTTTATTGTAATTTTGTGTTATTTAGCTGGTTATTGATGTTCTCTAGTAAGTGTCGTCTATTAAGAACAAGTAGAGTACAAACAATATTTACATGCTCTGGACAGTTTTGAAAATAATACAAAAAGCAGAGGAAACTAACAGAACCAAAACAGAACTACTACAGTACGTCTATAGCATATCTACAATGCAAAACTATGAAAGTTTGACTATTTAGAACTTACCATATGTGAGTCTTTCGGAAATAGGGCATATATGTGGATGTTTGTTCTTATGCCTCAGTAAAACTTCTTGTGTAAACCTATCAGAATCTTCTTTGGTGAGCTCTAATTCGTGGTCATGTAATAACCCTAAATGTTCTAGAAAGTTTTCTAATAATAACTTGTTTGCCTTATCTACACTACATTCTTTCAAACAAATATTTTCATTAGTCTCTTTAAACATCGAATATAACAGTTCGGTTTGTTGACACAAAGGCAAGATGCCTATTGGGTCAAATTTAAATGGAATGTGCTCGATTCTTTCCGAAAGGATGGGATACCATTGGGTTCTGGAAAGAATGGAATTATTTAGTAATAAGCTAAAAATTTAAATAACTATTTGCAACAATATGGTACAACTAAAAAATCGTTCGAAATTCAACATTAGCCAGAGATGGAAAACATAGAAAACAATCATCTCACACAGAGAGACTGAAAGAGATGAATAAGTTAAAAATTAGTATATTTGTTATTAAGTTGTTATACTAAAATTATAGTTCGCATTTCAATTTTACCAAAACTGTAACTGTTCTGTAACACAGAATTCAGGACAACTTTATCGGTGTATATATCGGTGTATAAATGAAATATACAGTATTGGAAGATTTAAAACGGAACATACGGATTATTAATACAATTAGTAAGATCCCCTGACCTGCAATTACCCAGTGTAAATTTCAATATAACGTCGCGATGTCTTATAATTAATTCATTTGTTCGACTGGATTGCTACTCCTTCGCGATTTCTAGTAGCGTATTCGGCAGGTGTACGTCGACACTGTTGTCTATCGTCCACTGATTTTCTGTGTTTTTGTGCAGATAATAACAATGTTTTATTAATAACAATTTTTTTGTGTTCATTAGATATTATTTGAATTGGTTAGTGTATAGTTTAATATATTTATTATTCCAAATATTGTTGATAATTTAAAATTTAAAAGGATGTATATGATACATCAAAATCTACAGATTTTTGCCGAAGGTATCTACCGATTTGGCAACAGTCCCAAGGAACATCACTGGCCGAGCAAAACAAATACATGCCCTTTGCTTTGTGTTTGGTAAGGTGCGCACGTGCGCAGCAGTCGAAAAATATCGACTGGAGAAGGAGTCCAGTCGAACAAATGAATTAATTATAAGACATCGCGACGTTATATTGAAATTTACACTGGGTAATTGCAGGTCAGGGGATCTTACTAATTGTATTAATAATCCGTATGTTCCGTTTTAAATCTTCCAATACTGTATATGGTATATTAATATCCTTTTCTAATTTCAGTTAATATAACAAAACAAATGTGTACACAAAAAAGAGTTCTTTTAAATTTTGCAAAAATATACCTTGTATCACCATTTAAATGAAATAAGTTGAGGGTATTCCGATGAAACCTTTACTGGAGTAGTAACAAAAAAGATGGCATCAGTTGCATTATGGTCCGTTGTACTGGCATTCAGAGTTTCATGAATAGCGTCTGTTTTTTTTTTCAAAGATATTTAATTGGTTCAATACTTAACCCAACCCTGTATATACGTCTATAAGACTAAGCCGTCTGAACAAACCCATGATAATATTGCATTTAATTAATTATTGTGAATCAATTCAAGAAGTGCGGGATGCAATAAAACATCTAAAAAATAATAAATCTCCAGGAAGTGATGGCATACCCGCGGAACTTATTAAATGTGGAGGTGCTACTCTGACTAACCATATATACATATACATATATATATATATATATATATATATATATATATATATATATATATATATATATATACAGGGTGATTGATTAGTGTGAGGAAGCTCAGTAGATCTGTTATAGTAAAAATTACAAAAAAAAGTTATTAACAAAAATTGTAGGCAGCTTTAAACTCCATATTTTAAAATTAGTTACAATCCTACAGGGTGTTCCATAAGATGGTGGCAGACCAAACTTATGTTTTTTTAAATGAAACACCCTGTATTTTATTTTAAATTTGAAATCTGCTTCACTTCCACATTACAACAATGTAAAGTTTTATTATGTTATACCGGGTATTTAAAAAGTTATAACCAATATTACCTGAAAATCGTATCAAGTTTAACTCCCTGTATAATTAAAAAGGATTGTAGGAACATTGATCTATTGCAACCATAGTTTTTTAATAATTGTTAAAAACTATAAAACATATTCATTTTCATAATATTCGTTAAATCAAATACAGGGTAAGTCAAAATGCAAGTACATTATTTTCTTGGTAATTTTAAATAGAACACCCTGTATTTTATATCACTATCGAAAAGAACTAATATCGTACTTCATATTTTATGAAGTACTCCCTATACCTAAAGTTATTAGTTTTAAAGATATTTTTATTTTTCCATCAAAGTATTAATTTGGTAGATATTTTAACGTTTACCAATAATTATTGTGAGTTGGCCATGATTGATTTGTCAGAAACTGACAGTTTGACATTAATATTTATTAATTCAGTATTGGGGTACACCGTAAATTAGCAACAATTATTATTTAGTAATTCAGTAATTGATTCAATTTAAATTAGCAATAATGAATTTTACTACTGATGAAATGGTAGATATGATCTGGATATTGGGGGAATGCAATAAAAATTCATTACTATCAGCTAGAATTTATCAAGAACGGTTTCCAGATAGGCGACAACCTAGACAAGATACATTTGAAAAATTGAAAGATCGATTTAACCGCACTGGTTCAGTGAATTATGAAAAACATGAACGAACAAAAACTAGTGTGACAGAGGAAAACGAAATGAGTGTGTTGATGGCGGTTACAGAAAACCCACACACAAGCATAAGGACTATTTCCTATGAACAAGAACTTAGTTACTACTCTGTTCAAAACATTCTATCTAAAAACAAGATGCACCCTTATCATATTCAAAAGCACCAAGAATTAATTAATGATGATTTTCAGAAACGAATAGTATTTTGTGAATGGGCCTTAGAAAAAATTAATGAGCAGAGAGATTTTTTTGATTATGTCCTATTTGGTGATGAAGCTACATTCCATCGAAACGGTTCTTTTAATAGGCATAACTTTCACTACTACTCAACAAGTAATCCATACCACATAGTAACACATAGTCAAACAAGATGGTCTCTAAATGTGTGGGGAGGTATCGTCGGTAACCATGTAGTAGGACCATATTTTTTTGAAGATAATTTAAATGGTGAGATTTATTTAGATTTTATCGTAAATCAGTTACCGATATTATTAGAAGAGGTTCCACTTAATATACGTGAAAAAATGTGGTTTCTACATGACGGTGCTCCTGCGCACCACAACGAATTAGTACGTGGTGAACTTAATAATCAGTTTGGGGAAAGATGGATCGGAAGGGATGGACCGGTAAGGTGGCCCCCAAGGTCACCAGAATTCAATAAAATGGACTCATTTTTTTGGGGTTACGTTAAGAACGAAGTATATAAAATACCCCCAACAACAAGGGATGATATGAAAAATAGAATCCGAATTGCATTTCAAAATATTTCTTTACAAATGCTTAGTAATGTAACCAACTCTTTCAATGACCGTTTTCAAGCATGCATAGATGTTTTGGGAGGTCATTTTGAACACCTTACTTAAGTAAGATAAGTTAAACTTACTGTTGTTTTTAATTTTTCTATGTGTTGTTATATTTTTTTTTATTTTCCGTCGGTTATTTTTTATAAATTTTATTTTAAATAAATTGTTTTCTTTTCTGTGTCGTTATTTCGTTACTAAATTATTAAACAATAATGTCAAACTGTCAGTTTTTGACAAATCAATCATAACCAACTCACAATAATTATATTGTGAGTTGGTAAACGTTAAAATATCTACCAAATTAATACTTTGATGGAAAAACAATAATATCTAGAAAACTGATAACTTTAGGTATAGGGAGTACTTTATAAAATTTGAAGTACGATATTATTACTTTTTGATAGTGATATAAAATACAGGGTGTTCTATTTAAAATTACCAAGAAAATAATGTATTTGCATTTTGACTTACCCTGTATTTGATTTAACGAATATTATGGAAACGAATATGTTTTATAATTTTTAACAATTATTTAAAAACTATGGTTGCAATAGATCAATGTTCCTATACTCCTTTTTAATTGCACAGGGAGTTAAACTTGATACGATTTTCAGGTAATATTGGTTATAACTTTTTAGATACCCGGTATAACATAATAAAACTTTACATTGTTGTGATGTGGAAGTGAAGCCGATTTTAAATTTAAAATAAAATACAGGGTGTTCCATTTAAAAAAACATAAGTTTGGTCTGCCACCATCTTATGGAACACCCTGTAAGATTGTAACTAATTTTAAAATGTGGAGTTTAAAGCTGCCTACAATTTTTGTTAATAACTTTTTTTAGTAATTTTTACTATAACAGATCTACTGAGCTTCCTCACACTAATCAATCACCCTGTATATATATATATATATATATATATATATATATATATATATATATATATATAATCATACTGAGAGCCTGGAATGAGGAACAAATCCCTGAAGAGTGCTGTTCTTAATACAGCATACAAAATGTTTTTAAGTATTTTATATAGTCGCCTGAGTGCATATTCAGAGGAGCTTCTTGGCGAATATCAAAGTGGTTTTAGGCCTGATTGATCAACAACAGACCAGATCTTTGTGCTAAGGCAAATACTGGAAAAATCCAATGAATTCAATATCGACACATACCATCTTTTCGTAGATTTTAAATCGGCCTATGATAGTGTCCTAACACATAAATTGTATGAAGCCATGGATGAATTGCACATCCCCGATAAACTGATAAGATTGGTTAAGGCTACAATGCGTAAAGTTGTTTGCAAAGTCGAAATACAGGGTGAACAATCACAGGCATTTGAAACGCATGTTGGGCTGCGACAGGAAGATGCGCTGGCGTGTCTCCTTTTCAACATAGCTCTGGAAAAGGCGGTCAGGGATGCCCAAATAGACAACAGAGGAAACATTTTTAATAAATCATCCCAAGCATATGCAGATGATGTTGACCTAGTTGCCCGCACAACACGCAAACTAGAAGAAATGTATACCACCTTGTCAAATGCCTCAAAAAATATAGGCCTGCAAGTAAATGAGGAGAAAACTAAGATAATGGCATCAACACCCAACAATAGAGCCAGAAACATCGGCCACCAATTTACTGTTGATAACTCTACCTTTGAAGTGGTGGACAAATTCACATACTTAGGCTCCCTGATCACCAAGGAGAACGTCATGACGAAAGAAATCAAGCGAAGAATAATCCTAGCAAACAAATGCTATTTTGGATTGAGTAGACATATGAAAGCAGAAACTTAAGCCAAAAAACAAAAATAACCATATACAAAACCCTTATACAACCAGTGTTGACATATGGATCGGAGACATGAACCATTTCCAAGGCAGATGAAAACCTCCTGCTTATATTTGAACGAAGGATCCTGAGAAGAATATTCGGTGGCATCTGTGAAAATGGTGTTTGGAGAAGGAGGTACAACTACGAGATATATCACAGATATAAATATATATTTGGTGGTAAAGACGTAGTATCTCTTATAAAAATAGGAAGACTAAGATGGGCAGGACATCTGGCAAGATCACAGCAGAACAACCCTCCTAGAAGAATCCTTATGTCACAACCTGTGGAAAGTAGAAGTAGGGGTAGACCAAAACCCGGAGGGATGGTGTAGATGAGGATTGTAGAAAAATAGGCAAACTGGCAACAGTTGGCAATGGATAGAACTGACTGGCGTAATAGACTTGGGAAGGTCGAGGCTCATTTATAGGGCTGTAGCACCAATGATGATGATGAATTAATTATTGTAGCTTAAATATGAATCAGATACACCAGTAGGTATATATCAACATTCAGTTAAATGAAATTTTCGTTTAACCGAATAGACCAGGGAAATAAAAAAAAAAGTACCCTGTTTGTGACACTCGTCCGGCCGGGCAACGGATAGTTGTTTTGAATAGTATGGACCTCTATAACAAGAACCTATATGTTTCCTGTAGTCGATTTTTTGTACTTAATTAATTACTAGGCAATTAAGGGTAAAAAACGGTAAATTTTCGCTTTTTTCGTCTAGCGGCAAGAACCAAAGCGTTTGAAACAAATTTGAGAAGAGGAGAAACTTATAAGTCATATAAAAACCTTCAAAATGGCGTTTTCTAAACGTTCCTATTTTTATTTGTTATCTTAGAAATTGCAAAATAAGTCAAAAATTTCGGTTTTTTATAAATATTAATAACGTTTTTTAACAGTTATAACCTTTATGTTACACACAATGTTGGGTCTTATGGTGCTTAAAATAAGATCAGCATTTCAAGTCGATCGGTCAAGGAGTTTAAAAGTTATTTCATTTGTTTACCTCATTTTAAATTTTCTTGCAACAATATGTCAGAAAATTAAATAGATATATTAAATATACGGATAGATTCTAAAAGAAGAAGATTTATTCTATTAATATTATTAAAAAAAAATAATTTTAAATATTCCAAAATAATTTGGCTACATATAAATTTTTTGCTTATAAACAATTAGAATAACTTTTTAACCATTGACTGCAAAAACTGATTTTTTCATATTTTGACAGCCTGAATTTTTTTACAAATTTAAAAGGAAAAAAGTTGACCTAGGACACTTTGGGACGAAGTTAGTGCCTTTTTTTATAAATTGATAGCAGCTTTGTTTATAACAATTAAGAAACCTAATTAGGGTCATCTGAAAGAACATACTTTAAGGTTTTAACGTGAAAAATTTCGAAAAAGATTACATTTTAATGGAATCGTTCACAAAGCTTCAAAATTGTGGTCCTCAAAATTGGTCGGCTTTGAAACTAGTGAGAGCGCAGGAGGGGAAGGAGCTGTTAACTGTATCTCTGCTTCTTGTTTATAGATTTCGACGTTTCTTTTTTTAATTTGTATGTACTTTTTGCGTACATTACGAATATGTATTATTTAAATAATTAGGTTGTTAAATAAATCATCTAATTTGTTTAAACCATTCTTTTTCAGTTTTTTTTTATGAATTTTTCAGGTAATTTTTATTGGAAAAATAAATATTTATGATTAATATATATATATATATATATATATATATATATATATATATATATATATATATATATACTTAGATTTTATGAAAAAAAAAATATCCCATTCAATTATTTCTTCTTTCAGGGCAAAAGATCAGTAGGAAGACGTGGCTGAAAGACCTGAGGAGAAGGTTCGACCCCTCATCCGCAGAAATCTTTCGGGCAGCAGTTTCCAAAACTTCAATTGCCATTTGGATCGCCAATGGCAGGAGACGGCGCAATGAGAAGAATTATTTCTAAAAATATTATTGGTTTATGTGATGCTTGGAAAATAAATAATCCCAGATAAACTAGGTTTTATTTCTTGCTAAGCATGTGCCTTTTGTCGAAAAAGTTCGATTAAAACTTGTTTTAATCGATATTAAATCGATATATCGATATGCTATGCTCAAAAGTTTTCCGAAAAGTTTCCATGGCAACCTATTTATGTATAATTTTTTTTAATGATTATGTAAACGCTTGCTTTAAACGTAAAGAGTAAATAAACTACTACGATAGCCGACAAAACAATTTTAGCGTTTTTCGAGGTCATTTTTTAATAGGTTGAACATAAGATGTAAAAAAACAAAAAATACAAGATGAAAGCTGAATTCAATTCGTTTAAAAATGCTCCATTTTATTTTAATGTTATATTGCAAAAGTCAGTTTAAAATATACATAAACAAATTGATATACCATTGCGTTTTGGAATATATAGACTTAATGGATGTCCAAACTTTAACGTTTGAAACACATTGTTTATTTCTTACCACAATCTTAATCTTATTTTAATCAGAAGAATATGATGCTGCAATATTACAGTAAAAAGTTTACCCAAAGTATACCACGGGTACTTACTTAATATATAAAAATAAATAAATAGTTCACAAATGAAATTTTTTATTTGTTGAAAAATTGTTATAAATAAACTGCTTCCCTTGTTAAACTTTGGGTTAACTTTCGAATAAAATAAGATTTAGCTTATGGGTAAAAAATAAACAATGTGTTTTGAACGTTAAAGTTTAGATGTTTGTCAAGTCTATATATCCCGAAACACAACGGTATTTAATTTTAAACTGACTTACGCTATATTGAATCAAAATAGACTTGCGCGTTTCGAACCTATTTTGTAAACTTTTACCTCATATTTTTTGTTTTTTTTTAATGCCATGTATAACCTATTGAAAAATGGCCTCGACAATGTTAAAATCGTCATTTGTTGGCATTTTTAATTTAAGTAATTTACTATAAAAATACAAGAATAACGTTTTAGAATAATTCAAATTATTAAATAAAGTAATTTTGAGGAAAATATATTTCTTTATAATTTGTTTAACAAGTGTTAAATAAATAAATAATAATAAATAAATAAATAAATAAACTACCATAAAAATTTTTTCATTGAGATTATTTTTACATTGAGGAAAATCTTAAATTTTTCTTTGAGCTTTTTTTTTAAATATTAGTAAGCACATTTAAGTAAAAAGAATTAAATAGGATAATTTGTTATTTTTTTCATAAAATCTATTATAAATAAAATATTTAAAAGTTTGTTGAATAAGTATTTATTAATCATAAATATTTATTTTTTACAATAAAAATTACCTCAAGTATTCCTAAAAAATTTGTTTAAATAAATTAGATGGTTTATTTAACAACCGTATTATTTAAATAATACATATTCGTAATGTACGCAAAAAAGTACATACAAATTAAAAAAAGAAACGTCGAAATCTATAAACAAGAAGCAGAGATACAGTTAACAGCTCCTTCCCCCTCCTGCGCTCTCACTAGTTTCAAAGCCAACCAATTTTGAGGACCACAAATTTGAAGCTTTGTGAACGATTCCATTAAAATGCAATCTTTTTCGAATGTTTCACATTAAAACCTTAACGCATGTTCTTTCAGATGACCCTAATAAGATCTCTTAATTGTTATAAAGAAAGCTGATATCAATTTATAAAAAAGACACTTAGTCCCAAAGTGTCCTTGGTCAACTTTTTTTCTTTCAAATTTGTAAAAAACTTCAAGCTGTCAAATATGAAAAAATCAGTTTTTGCAGTCAATGGTTAAAAAGTTATTCTAACTGTTTATAAGCAAAAAATTGATGTTTTTGCCAAATTATTTTGCAATATTTAAAATTATTTTTCCTTGTTTTTTTTAATAATAGTAATAGAATAAATCTTCTTCTTTTAGAATCTATCCGTATATTTATACCTATTTAATTTTTTGACATATTGTTGCAAAAAAAAAAATTATTTGAGATAAACAATTAAATAACTTTTAAACTGTGATCGATCGACTTCAAATTTTGATCTTATTTTAAGCACCACATGACCCAACATTGTGTGGAATATAAAGGTTATAAGTTTATTGTAAAAAAAGTTATTAAAATTTATAAAAAACGAAAATGTTGACTTATTTTGCAACTTTCTAAGCAACAAATAAGGATCAAAACGTTTAGAAAACGCCATGTTGAAGGTTTTTATACGACTTTTAAGTTTCTTCTCGTCTCAAATTTGTTTCAAACGCTTTACTTTTTGCTGATGACGAAAAAAGCGAAAATTTAATTTTGTTAATAATTAATTTGTTAATAATTAATTAAGTCCAATCGACTGCAGGAAACATAGATTTTTGTTACAGAGGTCCATACTACTCAAAACAACTGTCGCTTGCCTTGTCGGACTAGTAGCACGTAAAGACCCTGTGCTAGAATGTTTGTTGGTATATCGAAATAACGAAACAGTGAAATTCATTGTTAAGTTGCACCACACATTTTACATTTGGTAATAAATTATTATGGGTCTTTTTATTCCAACATCATTTAAGAAGAGGCTGACAGCATTAAACAAATTTAAGAGATTATGTTTAATTATGCATTGAAATGGTGAGGGAAAACGTTTAATATTAATAGAACTTACCCTCTCTCAGGTACAGGTGAATCTACATAACTATTCTTGCTACTTCTACGTGAAAAACTTTTTCGACTAGCACCCAACAGAGATGAGTGATTAAATAAACTTAAATTATTGTCTTCGAGGTCATCTTTATCTTGACACATTAAGTTTAAATGTTCCATTGTTAAAAGAGAACTGATACACTGACAGTCTACCTTATAAATCTGAAAGAAAAATCACCGTAAAAACTAGAAATAACCCATTTAAACAAAATTATTTATCATTGGATAATAATTTGAGGTAATAAATTCCAAGTTTTCGAATTTATTTAATTAATTTTTATGAAATTAAAAATTGGATATCTAATTTATATACCTAACAAAACATGTAAATATCTTTACGGTTTTGTTGTTTATATACGTAACATCAAATAATAATAACATAATAATAATCTGTATAGCCTCTGGGAGTTTTTGTCAGTTCTTTTATCAGGCGTGGCACCCTGCGAATGGGGGATGCTCTCTGGGTATTCTTAGAACCGATACACAGAGGGTAGCACGGATACCTGCCGTGGAACAAAAACTGACACCTGGCAGTAGGTATAAAATGCACATCCATGAAAATGGAGTTAAATAATTTGTGTTTAAGGTCGCTGCCTGGGGATTGTCAGGGCACGTCTGGAGACGGCGCTGGACGTGACAGCATGCGGGACGTCGGTAGCAGGGTGCTGAGGAGGCGGGCCCCTATCATACAATCAGCTACAGCCCAACAACAACCACAAGCCAGCCAAACAATACTAAGAGCTCGACTTGCTGAAGGTGCTGCGCTGGAACATCAGCTGGCACTCATCTAAGCGGGACGACCGAGGCAGTGCATGAAATGGACTGCGTCCATAAATGAAAATATTATCGCAATTAACCGCGGCCTATTACAAGGAGACTCGCTGAGTCCATTGTGGTTTTGTCTAGCGATGAACCCACTATCCCAGCTACTGAACTCCACTGACTCAGGTTTTAGCATTACAACAAACAATACTGTAATGGCGAATCATCTGTTGTATATGGATGATTTGAAACTAATAGCTTTCACTCGAAATCACTTAGACCAAATGGTAAAAACTGTAGAAACTATTTCAAATGATATCAGTATGCACTTTGAGTTAGACAAGTGTCGCGTCCTAAATATAGTCAAAGGAAAGATTCAGCCCGGAGGATTCGATATGCAAAATGGCCAAAACATCGAGGCTATGGGCGAAAATAACATTTATAAATAGGAGTAAAGCAAGCGCGGAAAATTTACCATAAACAAATATAAATCGAATTAACATCAGAGTTCATAACAAGGGTAAAACAGCTATTCCGCTCACATCTTGATAGTAAAAATTTGTTCAAGACATTAAACATATACGCATTTTCCGCGCTTAAGGCACAAAAAAACACCATCCTTGAAGTGCAGTAGAAAGAACGACATTACCGCGGTATTTAGGAGGACGAAGACTTATGGATATAAACAAGCAATTAGAAAAACAGATTACTAATTTAAGAACTTATTTTTAGGTGCAGACGGAGACATCTACTCTTTTTTTGCGGAGAGATCTACTGCATTTGTGCAGTAGATGACACAACACCGATCAAACTGAGGGAACAAAAAATGCGCATAAACCATCTTACTAAGAACGAAAAAATGTAAGCTGTGCTACTTTCGACGTCCAGATGCGTGCGAAAATTTTTGGCAGATATACCGACGTATCAAATCACCTAGGACTCGATAACATGGAAAGAGTTCCACCAGAGTTCATTAAAAAAACTGTCTGTTTATTCGGGGGGAATTCTAAGGAGATACGAAGTTGGTAACAACCGGTAATGCGACAATACACTTTATTAGCATTCGGAGAAGGTCTATGGGAAAATCAATTCCACTGTGGAAAATGAAAATAAACTTGTTCTTAGGCCAAGAAGAAATTAATAAGTTTTGGGGAAATCAACTTTCAACGCCAGCTACTCTTCACAATAATGCTGGATGAAGAGATAGAGAGAACTCTTAGATAATACATACTTCTTGATTGCTCTGCTTACTACAAAGATATTGCTTCAGGATCTTACTCTTCTTGTAGTGCACCTATCCGTTTGGGATGTTGGCGACCATCATGGCAATCATAGCAACCTTATATTGAGTGGTAATTAAATTAAGCACGCTATTTCAAATATATAATGCAAGGAAGTATCAAGATACCATGTTTACGGAACAAAGGTCTGCATGATATACCAAATTTGATCTTGCATAAATATCTGAGTACTCTCTTTTTTACCATAAAAAGTCTGATGAAATGATCGAGAGAACAGCTACCCCAACAGGTAATACTGTATCACAAATTTGATTCAATCAAGGTCACACAAACACTTTTTGTAATCTTGAAATCTTGTGGCGTGCAACTGATTTGACAACAAAGTAACCCAATGATATATTTTTGCTTAAATATACAGTGTGTTGCTCAAATTTAAGTTTATTATCAATATAGAGACCAAAAAAGTCTTTACGGTGTCAGAGGTCTTCATTACCTGGCGTATTGTTGTGTAGATCCTTCTTAAAAGAAATTAATTTGGTTTTTGAAAAATTAAATGTCAAATGATTAGCTTTGCACCACTCCCAAGATTTGTAACAGATCAATACTAATAATCTCATTCAGTACGTTAGAGTCCTTGTTTTGTCATGAAATTGTGGTGTCATCTGCAAATATAATAAACTGGCAATGTCGAGGTTAATTACGTCATTAAAATATATCAAGAAAAAGGTAGGACCCAAGACAGAGCCTGGAGGTACGCCACAACTAATAAAGATATTATCTACTGGAGTAACGCTCATTGATTGATACAGACTGGCATCTGTCTTCCAAGTAAGAACTGAACCACTTTAGGACAGGGCCTCTAAAACCATATCTTTCCAGTTTATTAAGAAATATTTTGTGATCGATACAGTCAAACGCTTAGATAGAGCACAAAAAACCGCAGCAGCAACATAATCCTTATATAGTTTAGTAGTATAGTTTTTCTATGGATGCAAAGATGGCATCATATGTACTTCTTAATAACTGTAAACCAAATTGGAAGGAAGAAAGTAAATTATGTTTTTGTAGGAAAGTTATCATTCCGATTTTTACTAATTCCACAAACTTTGAAAGCGCCGGTAACAAAGAGATGGGACGAAAATTAGCAGGTAAATCGTGGTCACCACCTTTATACAGAGGAATAACTCTAGCAAATTTTAAACAATCACCAAAGTGACCTGTTGAAAAAGACGTGTTAATTGCCTCCGCTAAAACTCTCAGAACATCATAAGGAAGATAAGATAAAACTCTAGATGGGATATCATTCCAGCCTGCAGCCATAGGATTTGTAATGGTTTGTATAATATATTTTATTTCAACCGACTTAGTAGGAAGAAAATAAAAGGAATTTGTAATGTTTATTCCATTTAAAAAATGCATTGGATAAGAAGAGTTAATTTTTCCAGCGAGTTCTGGACTACCGAGAAGTAATATTTATTCAGCTCACCAGGTTCTAAGATTATATCAGTAGTTTGGGGTAGTTTGGTGAACTTTGGTTCTAAGACTATTAACTATACGCCAAGATTCCTTTTGTTTGTTATTGGCATTTTCCATTATAAATTTAAAACATATACACTTAGCTAGTTTAGTAACCTTCCTATAGACACACGTATATTTAGAGAAATACATCAAAAATTCATTATTGCATATTATATGTTATTTAATTTAGTTTAACGATTGTAAGTTTTGGCGGGAAATGCTAATTCCGTTAGAAACCCAAGTTTTTTTACTTGTTCATTTAAGAATTCTTTTTTGAAATGCCAAATTAAAAATATTCATGAGCGTGTGATGAAATTGATGGAGCAAGTTAGGGGAGCAAAAAATATACCAATTTTCCTGAGTACATAATTTGATAAACCTGTCAAAATAACATTTTCTGAAAATCCTACCTCACCTGGCTGTGTAAGGTAGATTCTTAAAGGGAAATTCATATAGAACGGGATCATGATCCGATGAAAAATAAGGAATCACTCTGCACACTGTCAGATCCGGATGAAGATTATTACAAATATAATACAATATGCTGTTATCTCTAGTTGGTTCGGTAACCAGCATTTTAATATTAAAACTATTAAGGAAATTTATAATGGTAATGTGGTATGTTTAAGTTGACCCATTAGTGCCCGGCGTAATTGTATGGTAACAAAGATCACTTGCAACAAATTCCTTAAGTTTTCTGTGTATATTTCCGTAAGTTCTCTGAGTAGAATGAAAACAAAATATTTGTAATCGAATTTGTAAAATTCTATAATAATTAAGTAACTTACTGCATTGGCAATCTCAAAATAATGTTTGTTGTCAGCATAACTAATCCTTGAATTGTTTGGTACAACAGTACCATACTGGGGCTCAATCCAAACTTCGGTGACCATTTGTAGCTCTGCTTCATTGTCTGAAGATTGCTCGTTTTCGTCATCTGAGCCACTGTATGATTCATCACAAACGTTCGCATAATGAGCGGGGAAGAGAACGTATTGAACGATACATGTAGAACAGGTGTCCATCCATACTTCTAGTACCATTGTTATGATACCAGAGGCTGAATATGCGAAACTGAAGCCTTCTTTAATTCTCATCCTGAAAATATTTATTTATAAAGATTTTGGACAAATAATAATGGTTGTAGATTTGGTCAATAGCAAAATTATAAGAGAATAAATTTTAGACAAATGCTGCATATATCATATATAGATAAAATCAGAAATGTAGTACTAGAAGCAATAAACAACTAAACTGAAGTTAGGTTTGAATAAATAATGCTGTTGGATTTTCTCATAGTTCCACATCGAGGAATCTGTTACGAGATTTTAATCTTTTGGATTTGCATTCCCAATTGTCTGCTTGGTCCATTACATAAATGCATGAGCTTTTCTGCGGCTATTGGGACTAGCAAAGCCAGCTGATATATGGAGTTTTCTATTGGAGTTGGCTTCATGCAGTCTGTTGTTAGGCTGTATGTTTCATTTAGGATGGTCTCTAGACCAAATCGGGTAGGTGTACTCTGCCGCAGAATAGCATAGCGCGCGGGCGGTAGTTCTTAAAACGGTCGGCCTGCCCTCTCGCCCTTGCTATTGGCATGTTTTCCGATGATATTGTTTCTGGCTGCGACTGTACGTCGAATTTTCTCGGATTAACACCACCACATCGTACTTAAAGCATCCTTTTTGTTTACCGGTGATTGGCATAAACAAAGTGTTCCGTATCCTCTGGTATTGGTTGATCGGCCGTGTATACATCGAAGAGAATGAAAGTCAAGACGCTTCCCTAGTCAGGCCATTATTCTGTCTCCTCCATCGGCTCTTCTTTCGCTCAACAGTGAAAGAACCGCTTTTTTTGTAACAGAGACTCATTTTTACTAGGTGGTAATCTGTGAGCACTGCATAGCGTTTTGTCATTCATTGTATCGTAGGCGGATCTCAGATCGATCAGTGCAAGCCCTGTTATTTGTTTATTTTCGTATCCCTCTTCCATATGCTCTGTAACATTGACAATTTAGTCAGTGCATGATTTATCTGATCTGAAATCTGCTTGTTGTGGTATGAGGTTCTGGTCGACTTTGTCATACGCGATTTAGGACGGTCTTTCATATACCTTAAAGAGATGGCATACTAGAGAGACTGGTCGGTATTTTTTGGACGAGTCTGGTTCCCTTCCCGGCTTTAAAAGCGCTATTACTTTAGAATTACTCCATAGTTTCAAGATTCTGCAATTGTGTCGGCAGTTATTAACAGGTTGGCTGCCGCGGGTACCACCAACCGTCCTTTGAACTATTAGTACCAGACCGGCGGATCACGCGGCACTTAGAAATAAACCAGAAATGATAGCTGGTCGTCATTTATCGTTTCTGGTAATATATGTGTGTAATTTGTCGGTAGCCAACCTGTTAAGCATCTCTAAGAGCCAATTCTTTGCGATTGGGATCAAGTTTTTTATTTGTTCCACACAGATATCGTCTACTACAGTTGTCTTGCAATTTTTCATTGATTGAATGGCTTGATGGCTTGGTTTAGTTCTTTAATGGTGAAAGGAATCTCGAGGCAATTTCATTCGGATTGAGGGTTGATAGTTATTTTTGATTTATGTGGTACTAAGATAGGCTTTCCGTTCGATAGAAGATGTTAAGCTACTTGGTCTGGCGTTACTTGGTTTTATGGGGTCACAGCTGAGCTTTTTAAGATAACATGAAACTGTGTGTTATATTAATTCTGTCCAAACTATGCATCCACTTTGTTTGCCTTGCTTTTGTTTCTTCGTTGAATGGGTTGTGACGGTATAGTCTTTCGTATTTGGCCAGAATGGTTCTTGACTCCTCGGAAAGGCCCGGGATGAAATGCTGCCTGAAGTCACTGGGTATATGTCGCCTTGATTGTCTTCACAAATATGTCGTAGTTCGCTGGGGTAGAGCTCAGATTATTGATGGGTATGTCTATGCAATCTTCGAAGTTTATCCATTTGGCCCCTTTAAAGTTAAATCTTCTGCGAAAGGAAATTTCTGTTGTTCTTGTTGCTGGGTAAACCAGTATTCCTATAGGTTTATAGTGGGTCTTTGGGTAGGTTTATAGTGGGTCTTGTTAAGCAACTGTCTGGGTTATAACCTGGCCTCCAGATTTTGCTGACGAAGGAGCACGGCAGTTTTGGGTTATGCAAGAGTGCTAAGTTATTAGCTTCTGCCTATTCATCTACCAATCGTCCATTAGTGTCCGTCTCACTATACACAGAAAAGGTGCTGTGATGTTAAAAATCCTCCACGACGAACTGTGTTTTCTGATTTCCGAAATTATGGGTCTGCGAGAAGCTAAAAGTTTCTCCTGGTAGTTTGTATACTGATGTTACCATGATTAGCATTTCAATGGCATTTTGTGTTGTTATGTCTATCGATAGTACTTCAGATCCGGTTTTGCAAAACTTGCACTAATGTGCTTTGGGTATGACACCATTTTTGGACTGCATGCACTTTCATCTCTATGTGTTTCCTGGAGACATAAAATGTCCCAGTTCTTGATTCTGCTGAGTTCTTGTTCTTCGTTAGTCCGTCGATATTTAAGCTAACAATTGTCAAAGTTGACTCTGAAAAGAGCCCTTTGTTGAGTCGCTTTGCGTTTTGAATTTTCAGATGATGGAAGTATTACAGGGACGCCGGCTGATTTCTTATGAAATAAACGCACTAGTGGAAGCTCTTCGCTTGCCCCCTCCTTTATACAAAAAGGTGTATGGTGAGTGCATGTGGAAATTCCACTATTACACTTTTTTGGAACATTGTCGTGAGAACTATAGTAAAACTAAAGTAGCTTTACAATTAACATTAGAATTTAAAATAGTTGTTTTTGACTTTGTTTTAATTTTTTTTTGACATAATTTGTTTTAAAGAATTTATAAATTAATGGTTTTTTAAAAGTTCGTGTAATCTTCTTGCTTACGTCTAGTGTTAGGGTTTTCAGATCATGAAAGCGCTCCTAACACAACGAATACTTACGTAGTCGAGACCGACGGTTTTACGTGTCTTCCGAAGTACAATAGCCACTCAGTTAAATCAGAAATAGAAAAATTTTCAGTGCTGGGAATCGAAACCGAATATTTTTATTGAGATTTAAATTTAGTCATGAAGTTACTCGTCAACGTCCATAAAAGAAAACAAGTTAAATGTTGCTAACAAATAAGGAGAAAAAAATATATCGGTTTCTACAGAATTCATAAAATGCAACAAAATATTTGTCTTAACACGTTATCACGTTTTCGAAAACGTGCGCGCAAAGTACACTTATAGCTAGATTGCTTACCTGGTAAGAGTATTAAGAATCCTGGATACAGCATAATCAGGTAGTCTGGGATTTGAAGGAAGATTTGTACTCCATATCCATCTCTTATGAAAAAGGTATCTTGAGAGTGTGGTAAACAAGGTTCCTGTGACTGGAGAAGGAAAATACAGGCTTGGGTTTGGAGGTTGAGTGCCATCAGGAAAAATAACAGTGGAGTAGCTATTAGGAATTCTTTCATACCTAAAAAACAAAAAAAATATTTGTCCAAAACTGTTGAAAACACAGTAGTCCAGTCTGGTACTAAAAAAAAAAGACCGAAAAATGTTTCGCAGATATCTAAAGCTTTTAGGACAAGGGGGGGTTACTAGATGACGAATAGATGAAAAGATACTCGTATTTTTACCTTGCGTTTTTTTTTAAACAATAATTTATGGTCACAATTTGATTTTTTCTCTATAAGTTTTTTCCCTTATATTTTAAATAAACAATATTTATATCATTTTTCTATATCAAGAATATCTTTATTTTACCGTTTTTTCAATTAAAATTGATAAATAATTTACAGAGATATTTGCAAAAAAGCAGTTTTTTTCACTAATTTATAGATTTTATTAATTTTTTCATTAACAAAAAAAAATGTTATTAATACATTTGAACATCGAGGAATTACCGTCTTTTAAATTTATGCGAAATTTCCCCCCGATCGGTCAAATAGTTTAAAAGTTATTTAATTTATTTATTCCTGAGGCTAATTATTTAAACTATTGAACTTGCCCTATGAATGATGTTAGACATATTTAGCAAATTTCATAGGATTTTTAAGACTTAAACTATCTCAGAAGTTAAATGCATATCGCGTTTTCATCGAAATTATTTACAAAATAAACGTTTGAAAAAGGGGTGTGTTTTTTACTTATAAACAATAATAACTTCTATAATAACTTCTATATTTTTCAAGCTACAGACTTGTAAGTATAACCATTGGATAGCTGGTAAAAAATTCACATTTAAAAAAAAACCTTCTATGACCAACAGGAACGAAGTAAGCGACTTTTTAAAAAAAACATATCTCCATAGTTTATAAACATTTAGAAGTAAAATTTGCACAAATTTTGAATAAAAATTACTTTATATTGAAACCTATACTTAAACGTTATATTGAAAGTTTAAGTTAAGTTTACATCTACCCCAATCCCCCCCAAAATCTCGGAAAAGAAAAATCTTTTTTCATTTTATATCAATGATGTAATAATACTTACATATTTTATAAATTAAATTTCAGGTAATTGTTTACACATTATATTCCTTGTATTAATTATAATTGTTTGTATTTTTATAATTAACAATATTGATTTTTATTCTATTTTTCATACAAATATGATATACAGTATTAATCTATAGTTTATTTTTATGAACGAGAGAGTAATTAGCATAATTTTAACTGGAACCTTCGACCACTCCATGGGCGTGCTCAAGATTAATTGAAAAATTACTTTGAATAATTGTAAAAAATAAATGAATTATTTCAGTGTTATAAAGTGTTATGTGTATGTAAACAAAAGTGACCTCTTTTATCACACACTATATTAGAACTGACTGGCCTACATTAAAAAGGATTTTAAAAAATTCACATTTTTTTTAATTTTTAAAAATTACAAAAGAGAAAAAGAGTTTTTAAAACCGTCTAAGGTATGTTAAATAGATGAATAAAAATATTAATATAAAACTTACAGCTACTTGTTACAAATCCAAATCAGATTCAGAAGATGAACTTTCAGAACCAAGATTTATAATAACTGGGTCGATCATTTTATCAGTAATATTGTCCAGCTTGTAACGACTATTTTGCTTACCACAGGGTAAGAATATGGGGGACAAGATTGGGCAAACAAAATAATCGAAACAAGTGCATACGGACACTCAGTTGGTTGTTGGAGAGCTGGGTCGTGGATAAGTTGAAGATATTGGGGGTTAGATTGGGGCAACTACAAAAAAAAATAAAGGGGTACTTATACAAATCTCTTGGGACAAACAGAATGAAAATAAACGGAAACACCTCAAGAAATTTAATATAGGGCGCCACTTGAGGTGCCCAATTATACCTATTACAACCACTAGTTGTAACTAGGGAAATAATTGTATAACATCAAAAATATAGAAAAAAAATATCTTTTTCAAATAAAACTCAAAACAGATCAGAGAAACAAATTAAACATTTATTTTTGTCTCAAACAAAACAGATCAAAAATACATATTATAAAAGAAACATATCATATAACATAATACAAATAACAAAAACTTACATGTTCTTTGTTTACTATATTATGGCCAATTAGATTATAAAAAATTAAGGATCCCTTTTAATGAAAACATATAAATTTAACCTTATATATGAAATATCGTTTCTACATAATAATCAAATTAAAATTGTCATAACAAAAAAACAAATTAAGCTTTGCTGTCAGGTATCACATTTAATTTTGATGACAAAGAATGAAAGCAATTGTTACTTTAGCCAAAAAATATCTGTCTTTACTTTGAAAGATTAATATATTGAATTGTTACCTTAATGTTTTTTTTTATACAAACACTTTGAAACTTTACATCTCTGGGAAGCTACTCGGACAAAACTTTCAAAACTGGAAGGCAGCAACCATCAGGATTTAGTTCTACACTCCAGGACAAAACGATTGGAACAGGAACTTAGTGGAAGAAATAAGCCGACTACGGGGACATCCTATATCATACTTTAAATATTTTCCATATTCTGGTATCTGCACAAATCCTTTAAATATTTAGTGGCTACCCTTTTCTAAATCTGTCATATTACAGAGAGTAATTGTTCCACTATTTAACAAAATTTGTCGACTTTTGCAAACTACATAACTAATACGTTTGTCCTGTTTGAAATCTCTCAGTCGACCCTATTGTCACATGTCTGCCCCGCTTGGAACTTAAATTTCGACTCCTTATCACATGTCTGCCCTGTTTGAAATCTAAACATCGACTCCTTTTCAAATCAAATCTTGGTCTCAATTGTCCATGTCTGCCCCGTTTGGAACTCAAACGTCGACTCCTATTGTCACATGTCTGCCCTGTTTGGAACTCAAATGTCGACTTCTTATCACATGTCTGCCCCGCTTGGAATCTAAATCTCGACTCCTCCGCTTCGTTACATTTTACAAGAAACTCGCCAAAAATTTCCCTTCCGTCTTGCAGCTAACCTGTCCCCACAAACTCAAGAACCAAAACAATATCCCCTCGCTCGTATCGACAAAAAAACAAATTTTAAATGTTCCTTTATTGCCTAAACAAACAAATATCCTTTTTTTTTGACCCTCGTCTAATAACGAAAAACAACTATAATATTAGGGGAATTCATATTTATTGCGTTTTTAACGAAGAAAACAAATAAAACCTTTTTTTTATCAGGGGGCATCATAAATTTACATAATACAAATTAACAAAATACGTGCGTATTTTAAACTTGAGTTTTACCTGGCTTATAACAAAAGGTTCGATATTTGAATCTAAACACAGACAAAAAAAACATCTATATTTACTTTTGAATCGGTAGAAATATACGCATTTAAAAATCTCGTCAAAAAAACTTGAAATATTATTTCGATTGTTTTCTCTGGTAAAAACAACAGGAGCGTAACACAGAAATCTTTTCTATACACTTTAAATAAAAAAACGCTACAATGCCCCTTCTTAAAAGAAAAAACTCGGATAATTCTTATCCAGTTTTTGATAAAGGCAAAACAACAAAAACCAAATCAGAAGATGACCTCTTAACTGAGTCGAAACTTCTTAATAATATCTTTTAGATGATGGCTAGCATGGGATTAAACAACAAAAACAAAGTTAGTTACAAAGAATGGGCTAGCGTGCCATCGATCGCCAGACTCTTTAAAGTCGAGTAGACTGAAATTTTTGACTCTACTTGAACTGTAGGTGACATGAGTTTCTATGCCTTGGGGGAAGCTAACCTTATGCCCTGCAGTGAACCTCGCTGACATTCACAGCAGTAACACAAGTGATTTGTCGGGCAGGCATAGCCATGACACCTCGTTGCCTAAACCAAGTGCTATACACAAATCCAAAATAAATTGCTCTACACTTAATATGTAGGCGTTACTATCTCCACTATACGCCTAGCGAGACAGGGAATTCGGCAACGGTTCCACAAAAAAAATTAGGATATAGACCCAAAATCTATATACCTACATATGACAAAATGTGATTCTCACATGTGTCTCCCAAATGGGTTACCTGAATTAAAATTATCAAAAGTGAAACAATATTCCGAAGGGATGAAATCAAATCAACATATAAACTCGAAAATACAGACATGGGATAGGATGAACTAATTACTTAAAGATGACATATTGTCCTCATCTGACACAAAAGGCTTTAAATCTTTAATGTGCCACTTACCAAGATCCGAACCATTTAAATCTGACAAACGATAAACCACTGGTGACAATTTTTCCTTGATAGTTGCTTCAATATACTTCGGTGCTAGTTTGGACATAAACTTGTTGACAGCACAAGACAAAACCTTATTTCTTTTCCAAACTCTATCACCCACTTGAAATTGGACTTCTCTTCTACGTAAGTTGTAACTTCTAGCGTTACGTTCATATCCTTTTCGAAGATTAGCCTTAACCTTTTCAAAAACTTTATCTATACCTTTGACTTCTGAAGCATACATGTTACGGTCACCTGGAATTATCTCGATATCTTGATTCTGTTGATCCTTATGATCAACACCATAATAGTTTCCACTTAAAGGAACATGACGGCCATAATTCAGGAAAGCTGGAGTATATCCAGTCACTTCATGCTTTGCAGTGTTAATAGCTTGTCTGATCTTTGCTAAATTCTTGTCCCAATCTACGTGGTCTTTAACATACGTACGTATTGCTGTACCAATGGTTCTATTGTTCCTCTCCACAAAATTACACTGAGGTGCATATACTGGACTAAACCATACTTTCTGAACGTTATACCTATTACAGAGCTCAATTAAGAGAGGATTGTTCAGATTTGAGGCATTATCACAAATCACATATTGAGGAACACCAAACATTAGGAAAACATCATTTTCCAAAAACTCAACAATATTCTTAGCCGTAGCCTTTCTCAAAGGTTGGACTAAAGTATATTTACTAAACCAATCAGCAACTACTAATAACCACGTATAACCTTTCTTTGAACGAACAAAGGGACCTATC